GGATAGGTTCCTGCCATCTTAGGACATGCAAAAATCAACTGTGATGCAACCTACTGTCATGGGTCCTTATTGGCGTCTATTTTCGCTGTGTTTACACAGATTCATTTAGTAAGCTTATTGATGGCAATGTTAGGATGATGGCAGCTTCTTTAGCTTCTCAAGCTGAGGCTTTCGCAGTCTATATGACTTGTCCATGGTCTATGTGTTGACAATCTTCTGTATTTAAATAGATAAAATTATTTGTGTACAAAACAACAACAAGAATATAAGAAATAAAGAAAATGAGAGAATTTGTTTGATTACAAAAATCAAACTCGAAATAAAAATAAATAAATAAAACAATTTTATTTTGTTACAAAAAAAATTAAAATCTAATTAAATAAACAAAATTAAAACAGAATAAAATTAAACAACTTACTTGGTTAATTTATTTGAATAACTTTTCTGATCAAGTCCAGTGTTTAACACTGTGTCTTTAAGACAGATTCGTCCTCTCTACGGTGCTTTCAGAATTAGGACGTCTATCTCCCAGGATAAAATGATCTTATCAACGAATAAAAGCAGCACTAAAATTTAATCGTTCGTCGAACACACAAAGTGTTTACACTCTTTCTTTCAGAAATAAAATGCAACAAAATAAGAATAGAATAAGCAGAGGTGAAATACGAAATTTCTGAATGAATAACATCAAATGAGGGTGGTCCTATTTATAGATGTAAAGGTGGCTCTTGATTTTAAATTGAACAGGTACACTAGTAACCCCGGAGAAGACCATTGGAAAGCGATCATTGGGTTCTTAGATATCTAAGATTCACCTGTGATCTTGGTTTGAACTTTACTCGATATCCAGCAGTACTTGAAGGTTATTGTGATGCAAATTGGATATCGGATACTAAAGATTCAAAATCCACAAGTGGATATGTCTTTACTCTAGGAGGCGCTGGTTTCTTGGAAATCCACGAAACAAACTTGCATCCACGATCCACAATGGAATCCGAGTTCATTGCTTTGGACAAAGTAGGAGAAGAAGCAGAATGGCTTCGTCACTTCTTAGAAGACATTCAATGTGGCCAAAACCTGTGCCAGCTATTTGCATTCATTGTGATAGTCAATCTGCAATGGAGGGTACAAAATCATATGTATAATGGTAAGTCACGACATATTCGTCGCGACATAATACGTAAGGCAATTGTTGTCAAACGGAATAACTCAATAGATTATATATAATCTAAAGAGAATATTGTGATCCGTTAACAAAAGGATTGACAAAAGAGCTAGTGTATAGTTCATCAAAGGGGATGGGATTAAACCCTATTACATAAGAGTCTCATAATGGTAATCCTACTTATATGACTGGAGATCCCAAGAACTAAGTTCAAAGGGACAACTAAGTTATGTATGGCTCACCAGAAATCACCGAGGGATTAAAATTCCTAACCCATTCCTATGGTGAGAGTGATATCTGCAACATATGTTGTCTGCAGGCGAGATTCTTGGGGTGTGCCCCAAGGGGTACCTAAGTGTTTTAGAGGGAGAGGTTATGGGCAAAATGGGCTAGACCCATTGGACCCAAAAATCACCACACGCGCGCGCGCCGCCGCCGTCCGTCCGGCTGGGCTGGGCTGGGCTGGGCGCGGGTGCGTGGTTGGGTTGGGCTTCTAATCTTTTTGGGCCAAAAACATTTGAATTTATTTTTATTTTTTGGTAAAATAAAATCCATAATTCAAATAAACCGGAAATAATCTGGTTCTGTATTTTCTGTACATCCAAACAGGGCCCTTCCCGTTTTCAAACAGAATTAAACTGGTTTGGATTTATTGATCATCCAAACAGAGCCCTACCCGTTTTTATCTGTTTGAATTATTAACCCAACAGATTCAAATCTGTTTAAATTTGAAACTAACAGGTTTCATACATGTTCAATTCAAAAACCAGGAGCCACCTTTACATCTATAAGTAGACTAGCCTCCCATTTGGATTTCACTCCAATTTTCGTACTCCATCCTCTGCTTTAAATCTCTGCATTTTGCTGCATTTTATTTCTGAAAGAAAGAGTGTAAACACTTTGTGTGTTCGACGAACGATTAAATTTTAGTGCTGCTTTTATTCGTTGATAAGATCATTTTATCCTGGGAGATAGACGTCCTAATTCTGAAAGCACCGTAGAGAGGACGAATCTGTCTTAAAGACACAGTGTTAAACACTGGACTTGATCAGAAAAGTTATTCAAATAAATTAACCAAGTAAGTTGTTTAATTTTATTCTGTTTTTAATTTTGTTTATTTAATTAGATTTTAATTTTATTTTTGTAACAAAATAAAATCTGTTTTTATTTATTTATTTTTATTTCGAGTTTGATTTTTGTAATCAAACAAATTCTCTCATTTTCTTTATTTCTTGATATTCTTGTTGTTGTTTTGTACACAACATAATTTAATCTATTTAAATACAGCGAAGATTGTCCAACACATAGACCATGGACAAGTCATATAGACTGCGAAAGCCTCAGCTTGAGAAGCTAAAGAAGCTGCCATCATCCTAACATTGCCATCAATAAGCTTACTAAATGAATCTGTAAACACAGCGACAATAGACGCCAATAAGGACCCATGACAGTAGGTTGCATCACAGTTGATTTTTGCATGTCCTAAGATGGCAGGAACCTATCCACCAGGATTTGAGGTAAGAGCCTAAAACTATTGATCAATCACAGAGACAAGCCTAGGAAGGTTTCCCAATTCAAACTAGAACTGAGAGAATCTTTGTAGAGTGGTGTAAGGATCAATTGGTAGATGGTTGAACACAACTTTATTTCTCGATTACCAAATGAACCAACCCAAATATGCCACTGTACTTAAGAACTACTAGGCTTCCACCTTAGTCATACCCGTACTCAGCTTGTCACTAGTCCACTGAGCCACATTTGGGATAGAACCCTTTTCAATTCTGAGGTTAAGAGCACTCCCAAACTAGACTGCTTGTGTCCAAGGACAATAAAAAATGAGGTGTTTCGCAGTTTCAATCTCGAAGTGGCAAATAGGACATTCAGCTGAGGTGCTACACTTCGGTTTGAACAAGCCCACCTTTGTTGCTAGTAGATTATGACATATTCTCTACCAAAAGTGCCGAATTTTTTGGGGGACATAGAGAGCCAACAGAGTTTTCCACATATCGTTCCTCAAAGCAGTAGATGTAGAGGCCAAATTCGAGGTGGTACTACCATTAAGAGATCTCGCCACCAAATACCCATATTTGACCTAGTAGAGACTTGATTTGTGGGGATGCCATACCAGAGAATCACCTCTTTCTACCTCTGCGATGGGGATAGCTTGGATAGCTTCTACCTCATCCACGAAAATGTTGCCCACTAATGAGCCTAACTTCCAAGACTTGAGAGAAGGATCAATAACATCAGCCACATATTTGACAGAGCAATCAACTGGTGTAAGAGAGGTGATCTTGAATCCATGGATAGAAGGGATCCAATGATCCTCCCAAAACTTAACATTTTGACCCGATTGGATTTGCCAATGCAATCCTTGTTGAAGAACATCTCTGCCTTTGAGAAGACTAGTCAATGCCCACAAGGCATTTGGATCTTTTACTACTTGCATGGAAGATGAGTGAGGGTAGTAGAGGCCCTTGATCATTCTTGCCTAAAAAGAAAATGGATTGGAAATGAGTTTCCATCCTTGCTTTTGCTAGCAGAGCTTGATTAAAATCTTTGAAGTCTTTGAAACCCATCCCTTCTTGGAACTTAGGATAAGTCACAGTTGACCATATAGCCCAAGGGATTCCTTTATTCTCCGGTTCGCCCTTCCACCAAAAAAATAAAAATAATTTGAAAAAAGTTTAAAAAGTTCATTAGTTAGGCACACAATCATGTGTTGTTCCGGACTCTCTAGCATCTCATCCTATATATAATTCATTCATTGGTCAGTTATAATTAGGACTCTAAAGGAAGGTGTTCATGAATAGCTCTCAACTTGTTTAAGCTTGACTCATTTATTAAATAAATGAGCTTGAACTTGATTTTTAAACTCGTTTATTAATTGAGCTAAGCGCGAGTTGTTTCAAGTGGGGCTCGATAAGATTAATAATCATAAAGAAAATAAATTAATATTTACTTTTAATAATATATCAAATAATTTTTTAGTAATTTATTTAATTTTCTGTGTATTTGGTGTTTGTGTAAATTTATATATTTGATTGATGAAATTTGTTATTAATATAAGTATTCTCGTATATTTTGCTTATATTTTCTATTTTTTAAAATCTTAATAAGTAAATTAATTTAAGTTTTTTTTTTATTTTTTAAGCTTGAGCCGAACTCGAGTTTATCAAATATTTGATGAGTTGAAGCCGAACTCGATTATTTATGCTCGATTTGAACTCGGCTCGAGCTCGAGCTCAGGCTCAGGCTCATTTACAACCCATAGTATATATAATTTATTTCATATCATAAGTTTAATATGTCTCATCCTATATCATTTAAGTATTATATATGCTCTTCAATCCCTTATATTCAATATGAACAATCAAATAGAACTATAGTTTATTAAGAGTATGAGAAAATTAACATTACATAAACAACAATTCGAGCAGAAACCCTACTTCTTAATAAGTAACTTTTTTTTTAGAGCCTAACAACATGACATGCACCATATTGGCAAAGAAACTCTCATGTAGAATGGGATCTTTCGTCCCTATTTTCTCAACACAATTTATTAAAATAATTAGCTTTTTAAGTGAAAATCAACAAATACTGGGTCGGAGAGAGTGTTTGGAACCACGACAAAGAAAACATGAGTAGCGTATACAGTGCCTGGTATTTTGTGTATACCATGGATGCCCTAATCAAGCTGTAGCTGACAAGCTGTAGGTGTAGGTGTGGGGCCTTTTTGACAACAAAAGTTTATATGTAACACAATCTTGCTAAAAAGTGTTATGGGCATATGAAAAATACATCAAAAAATATAATTTAAAGAACACAACAAAACTCTTTTTTATATATTTTAAAATACTTAACTATTTTACATTTTTCACAACAATCATGATATTAAACATTACTTCAGGAGTATTAGTTAACATTTACCTATAACATACGCAATAGCTAGCGTACATTTGTTTGGGGGTTCCTATGGAAGTGTAGAGCCCAGAAGAAACAATAATTGCAATTCATATACAACACTGATACGATCACCTAAACTCTCTTTTACAAAAATCACCAGTGATATTTGATGCACATCTTTTTCCATTCACATATGTGTTTGTAAAACTTGTCATGTAAATAATCATCTGCAAGGTCTAGGCACGGGCAAGCGAGCTCCACCTCGACTTCTACCATTTCCAGCATACTTTTGGTGGTGAAGCAGAGATCAATCGTGACCATAACGTTGAGAATTCCCTGGAGGATGACGATCTTGTTGTTGGTGCTGGGTGGCTGTGGCGGTATGTTTTGCACCTGCTTTGGAGCCCTTAGGCTTCATCTTGATGGCATTGACTTGTTGGAGAGCCTCCAAAACTTCTTTCATTGAGGGCTGGTTTTTCGGATTGGATTCAGGACATTGAAGTATAAGTTTAGCTGCTTGGAATGCAGCTTTTGAAGGGTAGTGATTTTCAAGCCTTGGGTCCATGATTTTGTTCAATTTCCTCTTGTCGGGTAGGAAAGGTCTAGCCCACTCTATCAAATTGTGCGCATTGTTGGATCTATTCATGTCGATCACCCTTAAACCTGTCAATAATTCAAGCAACACCACTCCAAAACTGTACACATTGCTCTTCACGTACAAATGACCTAAAAATTTATTATCGATCATTGTTGTCGAATTCATATTTGCACCACTATACAAACAAATAACATTTATAATTGTCATATGCTCATGACGAGTCTTTGAGTGTTAAAAGCTAGTAAGATGAAAATGGCTTAGGATCATCCATCCCTAAATTAAATTGTGATATTGCTTCGAAATACTTGCACTTATTGAATTATGAGACTCCAAACTCCAAACCAATATAAAGGAAGGGGTTGAAAATTGAGTATTTGTCAATGACCCAAAAAAAAAATGTCAAAAATTGTCGAATACAATGATATGTGATTTTAGTGATTCTTTCGTTTCAAACCAAAATACCAACATTATAGCTTCTAATTCAAAAAATATTAATGCAACATCTTTTGGATGAGCTCTACAAATGTTATGTGTAAATCATTTTTCCAAACCACTTCGGTGAGGTTTGACAAATGCTAAAAGAAAAAATTTCTTTTTTTAAAAAAAAATAGTCAATTACTTTTTAAGTCTTTCTAGATCAAAAAATTTAATTAAAAAAATAGACCAAGTAAAACAAAAATGACAAAAAAACCAACAAATTTTACTCTTTTAAAGTAAACTTTTTATATCAATTAAACAAGACATGATTAAGACTCTGTTTCTTTCAGTCGAAAACATTTTAAAATATTTTACACTTGAAAATATTTTCATATAAATTGATTTTGCACAAAAAATGTATATTCATTCTTGGACTTTGGCTACTACTCCTATAAGAGAAAGATAGGGGGGAGTCGTACCTGTTGCGAAGTACTCAGGAGCGACATAGCCATACGTGCCAATGGTGCTCGTTGTCACATGTGAATTGCCATTTGTGGGACCTAACTTTGCCAACCCACAATCTGAAAGCTTTGCATTGAAGTCCTACAAAAATCAACGAGATTCATGGAAATTAGCACTGGAGTTATAAAAAGGGTTGGGCTTAGCTTTTTTTCAAGTTTAAATATGAAGTTGAGACTACTTGAGCCTTTTAAACAAATTAATCTATATATACAGTAATGCACAAAGAGGTCAATTAATAAATTTAATTTAACTTAAATTACCCCATCAAGCAATATTTTGGAAGCCTTAAAATCGCGGTAGATGACTTGCTTCTCTGTTGTGTGCAAGAACGCGTGGCCTTGAGCTTCTCCTTTCGCTATATTAAGCCTTGTCTCCCATGGAAGCGGTGCTAAACCCTCTGCACCATTCACAACATTGCAACATATATACAAAACACTTTGTTATTTTTTGAAAACAATTTTGTTGTTTTTTTAGATCAACACATTTCCATGAATTAAAGCAAGTGAAGTGAAGGGTTTTGGTTTTGGTTGAAGTAAAAGTGTTGCTTACTCCTGAAAAGGTGGTTTTCTAAGCTTCCTTTTTGCATGTATTCATAAACTAGGAGGAATTGACCATTTTCCCAACAGTAACCCAACAGCTTTACTAGATTTGGATGGCTAAATTTTCCCAAGGCCTTCACATCTGACTGCATTTGCAAAAATTTAAAATAATCAAAATTAATTTAATGAGTGAGAAAATGCAAATTGGATAGATTTGATTATTTTCACATAGATTATAGATATATAGAAAATAGCCTTGGCGACGAAGGTGGTCTATGTTTTGATGCAATCATCATCCCTTTAAATGGGACATGAAATTAAGGATAATGGAGGAAACCATTTGTTGGATATCTATATATAATCTGATCAACTTTATAAATTTATTCAGTTCCAAAATTCTAAACTAATTTGATTTATTCTTAGTTTAAAAATCAATGATAGGTCCTAATTATATACTCTTCTTTTTGTTTTGGTTTGCCATCACTCAAAATGTTTGTTTATGTACTATTTTAATCATGTTTATAGATTTTTATAAGAATTAATGATTACTTTGCCCCTAGTTCTATTAAAGTTGCACTTTGATACTTGTAAAATTAAAAATTATACTTTTTAATCCTTAGTTTTGTGAAAATTGTACTTTGTTTCTTGTAATTTATAAAATTTACACCTTGCACAATTTATTTTTAAAACTTTTAATAAAATATATAGTGAAAACTAAGAGCAAAACTACTTTTTTTTAATTTTTAATTTTATTCTTTAAATAAATAGAACAGTAATGACAAATATAAAAAAAATATTTATATTATCAAACAGATCAGTAGCCCATAATAATTAGAAAGTCAAAAAATCTTGACAACTAATAAACTAACTCAAGTTCAACAATCATTACTAATTACATGCAACCCTATAATGAAGGATAAATAAAATACTACAAAAGATATCAAACTTCTTTCTATGGAGGTTAAACTCGCAATCTCACACCACCAACGGTGTTACATAATTACTAGGCCAAATGTCCTAATTTATTTTACAAAACTAAATTATAGTTTAATTTTTACAAACTAGAGGTGCAATATGTAACTTTTTATTTTATGGAGGCAAAGTACGAATTTTCACAAAATTACAAGCACAAAATGGCATTTAGCAATTAGCAAAAAGCAAGTTGTATGTATATTCCACCAAAATAGAAACGTTTGACTTGGTCTAGTCCATTTAGCAACTACTCATGACTTTCTAATTTAATTCAGCTGTCCCTACTTGACCGAGGGATGGGATGGCGATGGGGCGACTTTGTCTTTCCGTTGCGGTATATCAAGGAGACCACGGATATTTTAGAAATTAAGTTAAAAATTAATTTTTTATTTTTTTAAAAAATATATAAAAAATAAAAAAATAATGTGATCTAAAAAAAAATTATAAAGTAAAAAATGTGACCTTTAACCATACAATGGGAATATTTTAATTTTGTAATTTTAAAAATAAAAAAATAAAAATAAAAATTAAAGATAATATAATATGCCATAAATAATGAGAGTAAAAATATATAAGATGATAAATAAATTAGTAAAAATAAATATTAATTGTTATATTTTAATGTTTTATTCATTATATTAAAATAAAATTGAGAGTAGGGTAGATAGAATGGAACAAAAAAGTAAAACTTGTCCCCATCCCACTTTATTAGAATAGGGTAGGGGATGCAGGTAGGGCTGAAAATGAAAAAGCCGTTCATGAGTAAGTTTGAGCTTGACTCGATAAAGGTTCATTTGAACTCGATTCATTAAATTTTTATTATGTTTGAACTTATTAAAAACTTAATAAACAAGTGCAAATAAGGTTGTAAACGAGCCAAGATTTGCTGAGCTCGAGTTCCAGCTTGGCTCATTTGCTTATTAAGTTCGTTTATGAGTAATGCTAGGGACCCCACACCCATGTGAGACATTTGATCATTCATTTGATAGAAAATTTGGGACCTATAGCATTTTCCTTTGTTTATTGAGTTCGAGTTTGGCTCGATAAGAAATTGGATTCGAACTCGGCTTAGCTCGGCTCGTTAATATTAATGAAACTCGAGTTCAGCTCGGCTTGATATGATTTTTTAAAAATATTATTTAAATAAAAAATATTATTTATATTATTTAATATATAAAGAATGTATTTATACTATTATTTACATATATATATATATATATTTATGTTATTTAATATATAAATAATATATTTAAAAAAATAATAAAAATGATAATAAACGAGCCTAATATTCGAGTTCGAGCTCGACTTGTTTATTATTAAAGCTATGTTTGTTTAACATTTACTTAAATAATATAAAGTTATTTATAAAAAATAAGATAAATATGTTATTTATATATTTAAATACTGTAAATGTGGTAGATATTATTATTTTAGTAAGATATTAACTTTTTTTTATAGGATGTCTATATATATATATATATTGTATATATAATTATACAATCAAAAATTTTTGTTGTAATTTTAATTTCATAAACAAGTATGAATTTATAATTTGTTTGACTCGTTAAGTTTTATGAACATGCTCGAGCTCAAGTAAAATTTAAGCTAACTAGGTTTGAATTCGGTTTGTTAAATTGTTATTTATTGAGCTTCCATTCAACTTTTTAAAATCTTAGTAAAAAAGTTCAAACATATTAAAGTTCGATTCGATTCGGCTCCACTCGTTTACAATCCTACATGTAGGGGTGGGCAAAAAAAATTCCCATCCCTAACACTATTGGATTTCTATAAAATTAAAAGTCATGTTGTTAGGTATCTATACTATATATTAAGCAAAAGGGGGTTTCTAGCCTCCAAGGCTTGTGGGAGCTCCAATATGCCAATCTTAATTTCCTAATTTTTTGTTTTTGTTTTTTTTTTAAATTTAACCTCAGTATTTATTAACTTTTCTCAACCCACAAGACTTTTTGACTTATCTCATAATTACTGCAGTATCTTTTCCAAAACAAATAATTTGTATATTAAAAAAAATTTAAAACAAATATAAATATCTATACTATATATTAAGCAAAAGAGGGTTTTTAACCCACAAGTCTTGTGGAGCTCCAATATTCCAATCTTAATTTTCTAATTTTTTGATTTAAAAAAAAAACTCAGCATTTATTAATTTCTCTCAATCGTCATGCCTTTTGAGAGATTTGGTCAAAACAGCCTCATAATTATTTAATCGTTTCATTTACTATTTTAATGGTTCTTCTTTACAATTATTTTTTTTATTATGAAAAAAATATGATTGTAATTAGATAGCATAAAAATATTTGTGATTTGTATGATTGAAGTTATCTCCTTTTTTGATGTATTTGGTCTAGCCAAAAAAAAAAATTATAATTTGTATTTGGTTTAGCAATTTCTTCTTTTGTGTACTATTTTAATGGTTCTTTTGATTGAAGTTATCTCCTTTTGTGATTTGTAAAAAAAAAATTTATAATTTGATTTTTTAATATGATTAAAGTTAGATAAATATAAATACTTACAAAGTGAAAAATGTGATTGTAATTAGTTCAACAGTTTTTTTTTTTTATTTATTGTGATTGTAGTTAGTTCAATGATTCTTTTTTTTAATGAGATTGTATTGTAATTAGTTTAATGGTCTTTTTATTTTCATTTGTTTTTTTTAATTATGAGAAAAATGTAATGTGATTGTAGTTTGTTCAGTGGTCCTATTTTTTAATGTGATTGTATTATAGTTAGTTCAATGTTTTTTTTTTTCATTTACTTTTTTTTATTATGAGAAAAATATGATGTGATTGTAGTTTGTTCAATGATTTTTTTTAATGTGATTTAATTGTTTTATTTACTGTTTTAATGGTTCTTCTTTACAATTATTTTTTTTATTACGAAAAAAGTATGATTGTAATTAGATAGCATAAAAATATTTGTGATTTGTATGATTGAAGTTATCTCATTTTTTGATTTCTTTTTGGTCGAGCTTAAAAAAAATTATAATTTGATTTTTTAATATGATTGAAGTTAGATAAATATAAACACTCACAAAGAGAAAAATGTGATTGTAGTTAGTTCAACGGTTCTTTTTTTTAATGTGATTACATTTAGTTCAATGTTTTTTTTTTTTTTAATGTGATTGTATTTTAATTAGTTTAATGGTTCTTTTTTTTTTCATTTATTTTTTTTATTATGGGAAAAATGTGATATGATTGTAATTTGTTCAATGGTTCTTTTTTTAATGTGATTGTATTGTAGTTAGTTCAATGGTTTTTTTTTTTCATTTAATTTTTTTATTATGAGAAAAATGTGATGTGATTGTAGTTTGTTCAATGATTTTTTTTTAACGTGATTTAATCGTTTTATTTACTGCTTTAATGGTTCTTCTTTATAATAATTTTTTTATTATGAAAAAAATATGATTGTAGTTAGATAGCATAAAAATATTTGTGATTTGTATGATTGAAGTTATCTCATTTTTTTTTATTTGTATTTGGTCTAGCCAAAACAAAATTATAATTTGATTTTTTAATATGATTGAAGTTAGATAAATATAAATACTCACAAAGAGAAAAATGTGATCGTAGTTAGTTCAACGGTTATTTTTTTAAAATGTAAATTGGTTAGAAGAATGTCTATACCTTTCAGAAGGTTAAAAAAAAAAAATGTAAGTATAACATTTTTAGTTTATGACATTATAAATACATAATATATGTATTGTCCGTTAATTATAATACTAAGCCTTTGTTTGGCAATAACTTTTTTAGTTGGCTTTTTGGCCTTTTTGACTTTTTTAGCCTGAAACTTTTTTGTTCGTTTGATATTCTTGATTGACTTTTTTGGCTTTTTACTTTTGGAATAGTGGATTTTTTTTTTGTCTTTTTGTGATTTTTGGCTTTCTATGATGTTTTAAATTTTTTTTGTCTTTTTGTGATTATTTAGCTAAATATGACAACCAACTACCACCTAACCATCATGTTGACAATACATAAATGCTGATGGAATACTTATAACAATTTAGATTTTTGTTATTTTTTTGTTTTACTTATGCAGTGAATTTTGAACAAATATAATAAATTCTTATTTTTATTACTTTAATTATGCAATGTCAACATTTTCTTTTAAAATTACATATATTTTATGCTAACAATTTATAAATATGTTTGACATAATATAAATAGTTTTTTTTTTATAAATTTAATCCCGTGCATAGCACGTGTGATATGCTAGTAATTATTATCAAAATATTAAACTTTAATATAATATAAAAAAGAAAAAAAAGAAGACATTTAAAAAAAAAGAAAAAAGAAGACAAAGTGGTGAAACACAACCCGTGCATAGCACGGGTGATATGCTAGTTTATATCTATATCTATCTATTTATTTATATCTATTTCTAACTCACAAATTTTTGTGGGAATTGCAATATAATATTGGGGTTGCTTGGTGATTGGTTCAAAGATTATAATTACACTATTGATAAATGGAGGAGATAGAGGG